CACATGACAATCACAGGACACATGACAATCACAGGACAATAACAGGACAGTGACAGGACACATGACAATAACAGGACACATGACAATCACAGGACAATAACAGGACAGTGACAGGACACATGACAATAACAGGACACATGACCATAACAGGACAGTGACAGGACACATGACAGTGACAGGACACATGACAATAACAGGACAGTGACAGGACACATGACAATAACAGGACACATGACCATAACAGGACAGTGACAGGACACATGACAATAACAGGACACATGACCATAACAGGACAGTGACAGGACACATGACCATAACAGGACAGTGACAGGACACATGACAGTGACAGGAAACATGACAATAACAGGACATGACAATAACAGAACAGTGGCAGGACACATGACAATAACAGGACAGTGACAGGACACATGACAATAACAGGACAGTAACAGGACACATGACAATAACAGGACAGTGGCAGGACACATGACAATAACAGGACAGTGGCAGGACACATGACAATAACAGGACAGGACAATAACAGGACAGTGACAGGACACATGACAATAACAGGACAGTGACAGGACACATGACAATAACAGGACAGTGACAGGACACATGACAATAACAGGACACATGACAATAACAGGACAGTGACAGGACACATGACAATAACAGGACACATGACAATAACAGGGCAGTGACAGGACACATGACAATAACAGGACAGTGACAGGACACATGACAATAACAGGACACATGACAATAACAGGACAGTGACAGGACACATGACAATAACAGGACACATGACAATAACAGGGCAGTGACAGGACACATGACAATAACAGGACAGTAAAAACTCTTTTTAATGCTCTGAAAGTTGCTCTGAAACCCTTGTTTTGTGCTTTAGACATTTTATTTTCTTGCCTATTTTCTACCGGAGATGTTGCTGCAGTACAGTGTTCATGGTTTTACACTGGTCCAGACCAGAGCAGAGAGGATTCATGGTCCGAACTAAGCGGATCAGGTGTAAATCCACAGGAGGAACTTTTTGAAAAATGCTAATTAAGCATTTAGCATTTTACTTTGGACTACGGCAGAAATAATGGTCCGAACAAAGCGGGTACTCCACCTTGTGACCTGTCCTGCTCCACCCAGCGGCTACTCCATCTCTTCTGCTGTGACCCATCCTGCTCCATCCAGTGGCTACTCCACATCTGCTGCTGTGACCCGTCCTACTCCACCCAGAGGCTACTCCATCTCTGCTGCTGTGACCCGTCCTACTCCACCCAGAGGCTACTCCATCTCTGTTGCTGTGACCCATCCTACTCCACCCAGCGGCTACTCCATCTCTTCTGCTGTGACCCGTCCTGCTGCACCCAGCGGCTACTCCATCTCTTCTGCTGTGACCCGTCCTGCTGCACCCAGCGGCTACTCCACGTATACTACTGTGATCCGTCCTGCTCCGCCCGGTGGCTACTCATCTCTGCTGCTGTGACCTGAAGGGCTGTTGCTGATTACTATTTACTGGACACCTGAATTTCTCCTGCGAGTATCTTGTCTATCTCTCTCGATCTCTCATTACAAACCTTAGTTCATTCACAAAAACTAACACAAACAATGCCAATTATTGTGAACTACAAAGACATTTGTATATAAGTTAAGTACAACTGAGATTTTTTATAATACTGTTGCCATTTTCTGACCCTGCTTCAAGGTCGTCTCCTCAAACATGTCCTGCACTGCATAACGAGACGTTGTTTTGTGATTTGAAGCATAAACTAAATACCTTGTTTTACTTTGCTTCAGTTACATGTTCTTTCTTTTTTTTTCAAATAAAATACCAGCCAAGTTTTTGTAACATGTATCCAATTATTTTGTTGATGTCTTTACTAATTCCAATCCAGAAACATGATGGTTTTACTATATTGCCACACAACCAACTGTGCATGTCCCATGAGGGACATTATTATACAGTATTATACAATGTTATTCCAACAGTATAACTTTCAATTCCTAAAGTAGATGTGGTTATTTTAGTTTCACATTTTATACCATGATTCTTCAGTTTTTTCCTATGTGTCTAATAAAAAATGTTGATGTTTTCCTATTAGCCAACATCCTTTTGTATGGGTTATAAAGCTTTACCATTTGTATTTGTTCAAGCGTATTTATGTAATTGCATTTCACCTGGGAGGTTTGGTCCTATCTCTGATCTCTCATTTGTAGGTAGAGAGAGCGATGGATGGATAGTTGTATGTATATGGAACACGTTTCTCCCAAAATTTCAGAATACGTTTTGTGTTGTAGGTTTTAGAAGCTTGCATAGAAGTATTCCTCCAAGTATGGTGGTGCCAGTCCACTCTCCTTGTTTGGTATTTGAAGTGTATTAAAGACTAAGAGATCCTTTATTTGTCAGGGGCAATTTCAGTGTTGCATCACAAATTATAGGACAGTAGGAAAGAGGAGCACACGGCACAAGTTAAGTGAACAGTAGCTCTACTAATTGACATAAAACAAAACTCTAACTTTAGCATCAATATCAGGTATAAAAACTCAATCTCAAAAATAGTAAAACGGGTGTAAAAGTTTTACATTTGGCAATAAGAAGTGTGTATAAAGTACTGTGTATTCTAGTGCTAGCAAAGTGTAGTTATATGTTAGCATCTGTACATGTTAGCAGCTGTTAGCAGCAGTATGTTGACATCTGTACATTAGCAGCAGTACGTTTACATCTGTACATTAGTAGCATGAGGCTCTGAGATACAGGGACTCAGTAAAGTGACAGCGACATGTGGTTATTGCACATTCTGATATAAGTTGAGGATATTGCAAACGGTGCATGACATGTGGGATCACATACACTATCATTGTAACTTCTGATGAGGTCAACCAGAGTTTGTTGCACAGGATTTGAAGATACCTCAAGAAAAACAGGACAAAATGGTTGTTTATTTCACTTAAAGTAATTTGACCTCGTAAGTGCAGTTGGCCTCACAGACCAGCATTTTGTCTGATTTGTGTGTTGTGTATAAAAGACCTCATAAGCTCAGTTGGCCTCACAGACCAGCATTTTGTCTGATTTGTGTGTTGTGTATAAAAGACCTCATAAGCTCAGTTGGCCTCACAGACCAGCATTTTGTCTGATTTGTGTGTTGTGTATAAAAGACCTCATAAGCTCAGTTGGCCTCACAGACCAGCATTTTGTCTTATTTGTGTGTTGTGTATGAAAAGACCTCATAAACAGTGTGTCCCTATATACCACAATTGGCAATGACCCCACAAACCTGTGAAATGTCCCAGTTTTATATGTGTGTCTTCTGAAAGACAAATTAGGATTTTTAAATGAGTTTTGTGTTCTGTAGATCAAATGAAGATGTTTGACATGAGTTTCATGTTGACAGGATGTGTGGAAAGGGGTGTCCCCATAAACCACCAACAAGTCTCAATGACCTTATAAACCACATATACCAGTGTGTGTGTGTGTGTGTGTGTGCGTTTGTTTTGTGGACATATGAGGACTTTTGTATGATAACACACCTTCAATATCAGGACCTGAGGAAATGTGAGGACTTTTTTCAGGTCCCCATTTTTCCATGCATACTACAGTGTTGTAGAGGCCCAGAACAAGCTCCACACCAAAAATCAAGCATGTCCCAAAATGTCTACAAAATAGTGAAAATGTGTGTCGGGGCCGAAACACTCCGTCCCAAAAAGTTTGAAGCGCCTCTCTGGTCGTGCACGGTACTACCTTAACACACTTTTAACACACACACACTTGTCCTCATATGTCACCTATTTTGTCACAAACTTAAATACATTCCCAGAGGTGGGTAGAATAGCCAAAATATTGACTCATGGTAATTTAAAAAGATACTTGAGTAGTGAGTGTGTGTTTGGCTGCAAGGCCAAAGAAAAGCGTTTACTACGAGTATAACTCCCTCTGTCCTGACCCTGCTCTCAGTGGTGCTATCGCAGTAACACTTCAGACATTAAAGAATCAGTCTTTATTTAATCACCAGAACACACACACACACACACTTGTAACTTCCCTGCCTCCCATCGCTTTGCTCCACACTTTTCATTCTCATTCATTCATTTCTCAGCGCTCGTTGCTGAAGTGTGTGTGTGTGTGCACTCGTGTCCGGGGCGCGCACACACACACGTGCACACATATGTTACTATCTGCCCTGACCCTCGCTCTCAGTGTGGTGCTATTGCAATAACACTTCAGACATTCAAGAATCAGTCTCTATTTATTCGCCAGAACACACACACACAAACACACATTCCCGCAAACCCCACAAAGTGAGGTCGTAGTTAAAAACATGAAAACTGAGGACTTGCCTTTCCCAATGTTTTAGGAGGAAGAAAAAACACTTTCTAGACACTTGATGGCGCTGCGGAGCTATACACTCCATTGAAAAAATTTAGAACCAAGATTTAAGAAAACGTTTTGAACCATCAGAGTGGGGACAATAAGTGAAATTTGCAAAAGAAATCATGAATAGACCTTTTTTTAACTCTTTGAAGGTTTATTTAGAATTATATAGTTGGTCACATGTGCAAATGGACACAGATTATTATGTGGGATCACAGCAATTTTAATAAAACAAAGCAAAACATTTGAAAGACAGGTTTATTTGCATCTTTGTATTTTGACTTGTCCCAACAGGACAATTACAAAGGACCTAATACAAAGTGCTCTTGAACGGGACTTTAAAACATAACTGTGCACTTAACATTAAAGCAGGGCGGTCAAACTCATTCCTAAAGCGCCGCAGTGGCTGCAGGTTTTCCATCAGACCAAGCAGGAGCAGAGCAGACTCCTCCCATTTCCTCAAACCTTCAGGTTAAGACTGAACTCACTGAGGAAATGGGAGGAGTCTGTTCTGCTCCTGCTTGGTCTGATGGAAAACCTGCAGCCACTGCGGCGCTTTGGGAATGAGTTTGACACAAATACCAGCTACACAAGCTGCCTCTTGAGTCGGATAATAGTATTATACACAAAGTACTTGAGGTCCTTCCAGGTTCTGTTGATGAGGGCTGCAGACTCCTGTGTGAGGCACAGCACACAGAGCCAGGTACTTCCCCATCCTCTTCTCCACGGCTCTCCTCCTCACTCCAGGGTTTCTTTGGGTTTCTAGAAGCTTCTGATGGAGACAATAAGACACATAAAGACTTATGTTTATCCTGATGACCAGGTCTGGACCAGGTCTAAACCAGGACTAAACCAGGTCTACCCTAGGTCTAAACACCAGGACTACCCCAGGACTGAAACAGGACTGAACCAGGTCTAAACCAGGTCTAAACCAGGACTAAACCAGGTCTGAAACAGGACTAAACCAGGTCTAAACCAGGTATAAACACCAGGTCTAAACCAGGTCTAAACACCAGGTCTAAACCAGGTCTAAACACCAGGTCTAAACCAGGTCTAAACACCAGGTCTAAACCAGGTCTAAACCAGGTCTAAACCAGGTCTAAACCAGGTCTAAACCAGGTCTAAACCAGGACTAAACCAGGACTAAACCAGGTCTAAACCAGGACTAAACCAGGACTAAACCAGGACTAAACCAGGCCTAAACCAGGCCTAAACCAGGACTAAACCAGGTCTAAACCAGGTCTAAACCAGGTCTAAACCAGGTCTAAACCAGGACTGAACCAGGACTGAACCAGGACTAAACCAGGACTGAACCAGGACTGAACCAGGACTGAACCAGGACTGAACCAGATCTGAACCAGGTCTGAACCAAGACTAAACCAGGTCTAAACCAGGTCTAAACCAGGTCTAAACCAGGTCTAAACCAGGACTGAACCAGGACTGAACCAGGACTAAACCAGGACTGAACCAGGACTAAACAAGGACTGAACCAGGACTGAACCAGATCTGAACCAGGTCTGAACCAGATCTGAACCAGGTCTGAACCAAGACTAAACCAGGTCTAAACCAGGTCTAGCCTAGGTCTAAACCAGGACTAAACCAGGACTGAACCAGGACTGAACCAGGTCTAAACCAGGCCTAAACCACGTCTAAACCAGGACTAAACCAGGTCTACCCTAGGTCTAAACACCAGGACTGAACCAGGACTGAACCAGGTCTAAACCAGGTCTAAACACCAGGACTGAACCAGGTCTAAACCAGGTCTAAACCAGGACTAAACCAGGACCAGTTGTACTCACCATCTGTCCTCTTGGTCCGTTTGTTTTTCTGGGCCTTTGTGGAGGTCGGCTCTAGCTCCTCTTCATCAGACACTTCAGCACACGCTAAGAACACACAGAAGGGTCAGCAAGGACTAAACCAGGACTGAACCAGGTCTAAACCAGGACTACACCAGGACTAAACCAGGACTAAACCAGGTCTAAACCAGGTCTAAACCAGGACTGAAACAGGACTGAAACAGGACTAAACCAGGACTAAACCAGGTCTGAACCAGGTCTGAACCAGGTCTGAACCAGGACTAAACCAGGACTAAACCAGGTCTAAACCAGGTCTAGCCTAGGTCTAAACCAGGAATAAACCAGGACTGAACCAGGTCTGAACCAGGTCTGAACCAGGACTAAACCCGGTCTGAACCAGGACTAAACCAGGACTAAACCAGGACTAAACCAGGACTAAACCAGGACTAAACCAGGACTAAACCAGGACTAAACCAGGACTAAACCAGGACTAAACCAGGACTAAACCAGGACTGAACCAGGACTGAACCAGGACTAAACCAGGTCTACCCTAGGTCTAAACCAGGACTGAACCAGGACTAAACCAGGTCTGAACCAGGACTAAACCAGGACTAAACCAGGTCTAAACCAGGTCTGAACCAGGACTAAACCAGGACTAAACCAGGACTAAACCAGGTCTAAAAAAGGACTGAAACAGGACTAAACCAGGTCTGAACCAGGTCTGAACCAGGTCTGAACCAGGTCTGAACCAGGTCTGAACCAAGACTAAACCAGGACTAAACCAGGTCTAAACCAGGTCTAAACCAGGTCTAAACCAGGTCTAACCTAGGTCTAAACCAGGACTAAACCAGGACTGAACCAGGACTGAACCAGGTCTAAACCAGGTCTAAACCAGGTCTAAACCAGGTCTAAACCAGGACTGGACCAGGACTGGACCAGGACTGGACCAGGACTGAACTAGGTCTAAACACCAGGACTGAACCAGGACTAAACCAGGTCTGAACCAGGACTAAACCAGGACTAAACCAGGTCTAAACCAGGTCTAAAAAAGGACTGAAACAGGACTAAACCAGGTCTGAACCAAGACTAAACCAGGACTAAACCAGGTCTAAACCAGGTCTAGCCTAGGTCTAAACCAGGACTAAACCAGGACTGAACCAGGACTGAACCAGGCCTAAACCAGGCCTAAACCACGTCTAAACCAGGACTAAACCAGGTCTACCCTAGGTCTAAACACCAGGACTGAACCAGGTCTAAACCAGGTCTAAACCAGGACTAAACCAGGACCAGTTGTACTCACCATCTGTCCTCTTGGTCCGTTTGTTTTTCTGGGCCTTTGTGGAGGTCGGCTCTAGCTCCTCTTCATCAGACACTTCAGCACACGCTAAGAACACACAGAAGGGTCAGCAAGGACTAAACCAGGACTGAACCAGGACTAAACCAGGTCTGAACCAAGACTAAACCAGGACTAAACCAGGTCTAAACCAGGTCTAAAAAAGGACTGAAACAGGACTAAACCAGGTCTGAACCAAGACTAAACCAGGACTAAACCAGGTCTAAACCAGGTCTAGCCTAGGTCTAAACCAGGACTAAACCAGGACTGAACCAGGACTGAACCAGGTCTAAACCAGGCCTAAACCAGGCCTAAACCACGTCTAAACCAGGACTAAACCAGGTCTACCCTAGGTCTAAACACCAGGACTGAACCAGGTCTAAACCAGGTCTAAACCAGGACTAAACCAGGACCAGTTGTACTCACCATCTGTCCTCTTGGTCCGTTTGTTTTTCTGGGCCTTTGTGGAGGTCGGCTCTAGCTCCTCTTCATCAGACACTTCAGCACACGCTAAGAACACACAGAAGGGTCAGCAAGGATTAAACCAGGACTGAACCAGGACTGAACCAGGACTGAACCAGGTCTAAACCAGGTCTAAACCAGGACTACACCAGGACTAAACCAGGACTAAACCAGGTCTAAACCAGGACTAAACCAGGTCTGAACCAGGTCTCAACCAGGTCTGAACCAGGACTAAACCAGGACTAAACCAGGTCTAAACCAGGTCTAGCCTAGGTCTAAACCAGGACTAAACCAGGACTGAACCAGGTCTGAACCAGGTCTGAACCAGGTCTGAACCAGGTCTGAACCAGGTCTGAACCAGGACTAAACCCGGTCAGAACCAGGACTAAACCCGGTCTGAACCAGGACTAAACCCGGTCTGAACCAGGACTAAACCAGGACTAAACCAGGACTAAACCAGGACTAAACCAGGACTGAACCAGGACTAAACCAGGTCTACCCTAGGTCTAAACCAGGACTGAACCAGGACTAAACCAGGACTAAACCAGGACTAAACCAGGACTAAACCAGGACTAAACCAGGACTAAACCAGGACTAAACCAGGACTAAACCAGGTCTAAAAAAGGACTAAACCAGGACTGAACCAGGACTGAACCAGGTCTGAACCAGGTCTGAACCAGGTCTGAACCAGGTCTGAACCAGGTCTGAACCAGGTCTGAACCAGGTCTGAACCAGGTCTGAACCAGGTCTGAACCAGGTCTGAACCAGGTCTGAACCAAGACTAAACCAGGATTAAACCAGGTCTAAACCAGGTCTAAACCAGGTCTAACCTAGGTCTAAACCAGGACTAAACCAGGACTGAACCAGGACTGAACCAGGTCTAAACCAGGTCTAAACCAGGTCTAAACCAGGTCTAAACCAGGTCTAAACCAGGTCTAAACCAGGTCTAAACCAGGACTGGACCAGGACTGGACCAGGACTGAACTAGGTCTAAACACCAGGACTGAACCAGGACTAAACCAGGTCTGAACCAGGACTAAACCAGGACTAAACCAGGACTAAACCAGGTCTACCCTAGGTCTAAACACCAGGACTGAACCAGGACTAAACCAGGTCTGAACCAGGTCTAAACCAGGACTAAACCAGGACCAGTTGTACTCACCATCTGTCCTCTTGGTCCGTTTGTTTTTCTGGGCCTTTGTGGAGGTCGGCTCTAGCTCCTCTTCATCAGACACTTCAGCACACGCTAAGAACACACAGAAAGGTCAGCAAGGACTAAACCAGGACTGAACCAGGACTAAACCAGGTCTAAACCAGGTCTGAACCAGGTCTAAACCAGGACTAAACCAGGACTAAACCAGGACTGAACCAGGACTAAACCAGGTCTAAACCAGGTCTGAACCAGGTCTAAACCAGGTCTGAACCAGGTCTAAACCAGGACTAAACCAGGACTAAACCAGGACTAAACCAGGTCTAAACCAGGTCTAAAAAAGGACTGAAACAGGACTAAACCAGGACTAAACCAGGTCTAAACCAGGACTAAACCAGGACTAAACCAGGTCTGAACCAGGTCTAAACCAGGTCTGAACCAGGACTAAACCAGGACTAAACCAGGTCTAAACCAGGTCTAAAAAAGGACTGAAACAGGACTAAACCAGGACTAAACCAGGTCTAAACCAGGTCTAGCCTAGGTCTAAACCAGGACTAAACCAGGACTGAACCAGGACTGAACCAGGTCTAAACCAGGCCTAAACCAGGCCTAAACCATGTCTAAACCAGGACTAAACCAGGTCTACCCTAGGTCTAAACACCAGGACTGAACCAGGTCTAAACCAGGTCTAAACCAGGTCTAAACCAGGTCTGAACCAGGTCTGAACCAGGTCTGAACCAGGTCTGAACCAGGTCTGAACCAGGTCTGAACCAGGTCTGAACCAGGACTCAACCAAGTCTGAACCAGGACTAAACCAGGTCTGAACCAGGACTAAACCAGGTCTGAACCAGGACTAAACCAGGACTAAACCAGGACTAAACCAGGACTAAACCAGGACTAAACCAGGACTAAACCAGGACTAAACCAGGACTAAACCAGGTCTACCCTAGGTCTAAACCAGGACTGAACCAGGACTGAACGAGGACTAAACCAGGTCTGAACCAGGACTAAACCAGGTCTGAACCAGGACTAAACCAGGTCTGAACCAGGACTAAACCAGGACTAAACCAGGACTAAACCAGGTCTAAACCAGGTCTAAACCAGGTCTGAACCAGGTCTGAACCAGGACTAAACCAGGACTAAACCAGGTCTAAACCAGGTCTAAAAAAGGACTGAAACAGGACTAAACCAGGTCTGAACCAGGTCTGAACCAGGTCTGAACCAAGACTAAACCAGGTCTAAACCAGGACTAAACCAGGTCTAAACCAGGTCTAAACCAGGTCTAAACCAGGTCTAAACCAGGTCTAAACCAGGTCTAAACCAGGTCTAAACCAGGACTGAACCAGGTCTAAACTAGGTCTAAACACCAGGACTGAACCAGGACTAAACCAGGTCTGAACCAGGACTAAACCAGGTCTAAAAAAGGACTGAAACAGGACTAAACCAGGTCTGAACCAAGACTAAACCAGGACTAAACCAGGTCTAAACCAGGACTAAACCAGGACTGAACCAGGACTGAACCAGGACTGAACCAGGTCTAAACCAGGCCTAAACCAGGCCTAAACCACGTCTAAACCAGGTCTACCCTAGGTCTAAACACCAGGACTGAACCAGGTCTAAACCAGGTCTAAACCAGGACTAAACCAGGACCAGTTGTACTCACCATCTGTCCTCTTGGCCCGTTTGTTTTTCTGGGCCTTTGTGGAGGTCGGCTCTAGCTCCTCTTCATCAGACACTTCAGCACACGCTAAGAACACACAGAAGGGTCAGCAAGGACTAAACCAGGACTGAACCAGGACTAAACCAGGTCTAAACCAGGTCTGAACCAGGTCTAAACCAGGTCTGAACCAGGACTAAACCAGGACTAAACCAGGACTAAACCAGGTCTAAACCAGGTCTAAACCAGGACTGAAACAGGACTAAACCAGGACTAAACCAGGTCTGAACCAGGTCTGAACCAAGACTAAACCAGGACTAAACCAGGTCTAAACCAGGTCTAGCCTAGGTCTAAACCAGGACTAAACCAGGACTGAACCAGGACTGAACCAGGTCTAAACCAGGCCTAAACCAGGCCTAAACCAGGCCTAAACCATGTCTAAACCAGGACTAAACCAGGTCTACCCTAGGTCTAAACACCAGGACTTAACCAGGTCTGAACCAGGTCTGAACCAGGTCTGAACCAGGTCTGAACCAGGTCTGAACCAGGTCTGAACCAGGTCTGAACCAGGTCTGAACCAGGTCTGAACCAGGTCTGAACCAGGTCTGAACCAGGTCTGAACCAGGTCTGAACCAGGTGTGAACCAGGTCTGAACCAAGACTAAACCAGGTCTAAACCAGGTCTAGCCTAGGTCTAAACCAGGACTAAACCAGGACTGAACCAGGACTGAACCAGGTCTAAACCAGGCCTAAACCACGTCTAAACCAGGACTAAACCAGGTCTACCCTAGGTCTAAACACCAGGACTGAACCAGGACTGAACCAGGTCTAAACCAGGTCTAAACACCAGGACTGAACCAGGTCTAAACCAGGTCTAAACCAGGACTAAACCAGGACCAGTTGTACTCACCATCTGTCCTCTTGGTCCGTTTGTTTTTCTGGGCCTTTGTGGAGGTCGGCTCTAGCTCCTCTTCATCAGACACTTCAGCACACGCTAAGAACACACAGAAGGGTCAGCAAGGACTAAACCAGGACTGAACCAGGTCTAAACCAGGACTACACCAGGACTACACCAGGACTAAACCAGGACTAAACCAGGACTGAAACAGGACTGAAACAGGACTGAAACAGGACTGAAACAGGACTGAAACAGGACTAAACCAGGACTAAACCAGGACTAAACCAGGACTAAACCAGGTCTAAACCAGGTCTAGCCTAGGTCTAAACCAGGACTAAACCAGGACTGAACCAGGACTGAACCAGGTCTGAACCAGGTCTGAACCAGGTCTGAACCAGGTCTGAACCAGGTCTGAACCAGGTCTGAACCAGGTCTGAACCAGGTCTGAACCAGGTCTGAACCAGGTCTGAACCAGGACTCAACCAAGTCTGAACCACGACTAAACCCGGTCTGAACCAGGACTAAACCAGGACTAAACCAGGACTAAACCAGGACTAAACCAGGACTAAACCAGGACTAAACCAGGACTGAACCAGGACTGAACCAGGACTGAACCAGGTCTACCCTAGGTCTAAACCAGGACTGAACCAGGACTAAACCAGGACTAAACCAGGACTAAACCAGGACTAAACCAGGACTAAACCAGGACTAAACCAGGACTAAACCAGGACTAAACCAGGACTGAACCAGGACTAAACCAGGTCTAAACCAGGACTGAACCAGGACTAAACCAGGTCTGAACCAGGACTAAAACCAGGACTAAACCAGGTCTAAACCAGGTCTGAACCAGGACTAAACCAGGACTAAACCAGGACTAAACCAGGACTAAACCAGGACTAAACCAGGACTAAACCAGGTCTAAAAAAGGACTGAAACAGGACTAAACCAGGTCTGAACCAGGTCTGAACCAGGTCTGAACCAGGTCTGAACCAGGTCTGAACCAGGTCTGAACCAGGTCTGAACCAGGTCTGAACCAGGTCTGAACCAGGTCTGAACCAAGACTAAACCAGGACTAAACCAGGTCTAAACCAGGTCTAAACCAGGTCTAAACCAGGTCTAACCTAGGTCTAAACCAGGACTAAACCAGGACTGAACCAGGACTGAACCAGGTCTAAACCAGGTCTAAACCAGGTCTAAACCAGGTCTAAACCAGGTCTAAACCAGGTCTAAACCAGGACTGGACCAGGACTGGACCAGGACTGGACCAGGACTGGACCAGGACTGAACTAGGTCTAAACACCAGGACTGAACCAGGACTAAACCAGGTCTGAACCAGGACTAAACCAGGACTAAACCAGGTCTAAACCAGGTCTAAAAAAGGACTGAAACAGGACTAAACCAGGTCTGAACCAAGACTAAACCAGGACTAAACCAGGTCTAAACCAGGTCTAGCCTAGGTCTAAACCAGGACTAAACCAGGACTGAACCAGGACTGAACCAGGTCTAAACCAGGCCTAAACCAGGCCTAAACCACGTCTAAACCAGGTCTACCCTAGGTCTAAACACCAGGACTGAACCAGGTCTAAACCAGGTCTAAACCAGGACTAAACCAGGACCAGTTGTACTCACCATCTGTCCTCTTGGTCCGTTTGTTTTTCTGGGCCTTTGTGGAGGTCGGCTCTAGCTCCTCTTCATCAGAAGCTAAGAACACACAGAAGGGTCAGCAAGGACTAAACCAGGACTGAACCAGGACTAAACCAGGTCTAAACCAGGTCTGAACCAGGTCTAAACCAGGACTAAACCAGGACTAAACCAGGACTGAACCAGGACTAAACCAGGTCTAAACCAGGTCTGAACCAGGTCTAAACCAGGACTAAACCAGGACTAAACCAGGACTAAACCAGGACTAAACCAGGACTAAACCAGGACTAAACCAGGTCTACCCTAGGTCTAAACCAGGACTGAACCAGGACTAAACCAGGTCTGAACCAGGACTAAACCAGGACTAAACCAGGTCTAAACCAGGTCTAAACCAGGTCTGAACCAGGACTAAACCAGGACTAAACCAGGTCTAAACCAGGTCTAAAAAAGGACTGAAACAGGTCTGAACCAGGTCTGAACCAAGACTAAACCAGGTCTGAACCAGGTCTGAACCAGGTCTGAACCAAGACTAAACCAGGTCTAGCCTAGGTCTAAACCAGGACTAAACCAGGACTGAACCAGGACTGAACCAGGTCTAAACCAGGCCTAAACCAGGCCTAAACCATGTCTAAAAAAGGACTGAAACAGGACTAAACCAGGTCTGAACCAAGACTAAACCAGGACTAAACCAGGACTAAACCAGGTCTAAACCAGGTCTAAACCAGGTCTAGCCTAGGTCTAAACCAGGACTAAACCAGGACTGAACCAGGTCTAAACCAGGCCTAAACCAGGCCTAAACCACGTCTAAACCAGGACTAAACCAGGTCTACCCTAGGTCTAAACACCAGGACTGAACCAGGACTGAACCAGGTCTAAACCAGGTCTAAACCAGGTCTAAACCAGGTCTAAACCAGGTCTAAACCAGGACTAAACCAGGACTAAACCAGGACTAAACCAGGACTAAAAAAAGGACTGAAACAGGACTAAACCAGGTCTAAACCAGGTCTAGCCTAGGTCTAAACCAGGACTAAACCAGGACTGAACCAGGACTGAACCAGGACTAAACCAGGACTAAACCAGGACTAAACCAGGTCTGAACCAGGTCTGAACCAGGTCTGAACCAGGTCTGAACCAGGTCTGAACCAGGTCTGAACCAAGACTAAACCAGGACTAAACCAGGACTAAACCAGGACTAAACCAGGTCTAAAAAAGGACTGAAACAGGACTAAACCAGGTCTGAACCAGGTCTGAACCAGGTCTGAACCAGGTCTGAACCAGGTCTGAACCAGGTCTGAACCAAGACTAAACCAGGATTAAACCAGGTCTAAACCAGGTCTAAACCAGGTCTAACCTAGGTCTAAACCAGGACTAAACCAGGACTGAACCAGGACTGAACCAGGTCTAAACCAGGTCTAAACCAGGTCTAAACCAGGTCTAAACCAGGTCTAAACCAGGTCTAAACCAGGACTGGACCAGGACTGGACCAGGACTGGACCAGGACTAAACCAGGACTAAACCAGGTCTACCCTAGGTCTAAAGACCAGGACTGAACCAGGTCTAAACCAGGACTAAACCAGGACCAGTTGTACTCACCATCTGTCCTCTTGGTCCGTTTGTTTTTCTGGGCCTTTGTGGAGGTCGGCTCTAGCTCCTCTTCATCAGACACTTCAGCACACGCTAAGAACACACAGAAAGGTCAGCAAGGACTAAACCAGGACTGAACCAGGACTAAACCAGGTCTAAACCAGGTCTAAACCAGGTCTGAACCAGGTCTGAACCAGGTCTAAACCAGGACTAAACCAGGACTAAACCAGGACTGAACCAGGACTAAACCAGGTCTAAACCAGGTCTGAACCAGGTCTAAACCAGGTCTGAACCAGGTCTAAACCAGGACTAAACCAGGACTAAACCAGGACTAAACCAGGTCTAAACCAGGTCTAAAAAAGGACTGAAACAGGACTAAACCAGGACTAAACCAGGTCTAAACCAGGACTAAACCAGGACTAAACCAGGACTAAACCAGGTCTAAACCAGGTCTGAACCAGGACTAAACCAGGACTAAACCAGGACTAAACCATGTCTAAACCAGGTCTAAAAAAGGACTGAAACAGGACTAAACCAGGACTAAACCAGGTCTAAACCAGGTCTAGCCTAGGTCTAAACCAGGACTAAACCAGGACTGAACCAGGACTGAACCAGGTCTAAACCAGGCCTAAACCAGGCCTAAACCATGTCTAAACCAGGACTAAACCAGGTCTACCCTAGGTCTAAACACCAGGACTGAACCAGGTCTAAACCAGGTCTAAACCAGGTCTAAACCAGGTCTGAACCAGGTCTGAACCAGGTCTAAACCAGGTCTGAACCAGGTCTAAACCAGGTCTGAACCAGGTCTGAACCAGGTCTGAACCAGGTCTGAACCAGGACTCAACCAAGTCTGAACCAGGAATAAACCAGGTCTGAACCAGGACTAAACCAGGTCTGAACCAGGACTAAACCAGGTCTAAACCAGGACTAAACCAGGACTAAACCAGGACTAAACCAGGACTAAACCAGGACTAAACCAGGACTAAACCAGGACTAAACCAGGTCTACCCTAGGTCTAAACCAGGACTGAACCAGGACTGAACCAGGACTAAACCAGGTCTGAACCAGGACTAAACCAGGTCTGAACCAGGACTAAACCAGGTCTGAACCAGGACTAAACCAGGACTAAACCAGGACTAAACCAGGTCTAAACCAGGTCTAAACCAGGTCTGAACCAGGTCTGAACCAGGACTAAACCAGGACTAAACCAGGTCTAAACCAGGTCTAAAAAAGGACTGAAACAGGACTAAACCAGGTCTGAACCAGGTCTGAACCAGGTCTGAACCAGGTCTGAACCAAGACTAAACCAGGTCTAAACCAGGACTAAACCAGGTCTAAACCAGGTCTAAACCAGGTCTAAACCAGGTCTAAACCAGGTCTAAACCAGGACTGAACCAGGACTGAACCAGGTCTAAACCAGGCCTAAACCAGGCCTAAACCAGGCCTAAACCATGTCTAAACCAGGACTAAACCAGGTCTACCCTAGGTCTAAACACCAGGACTTAACCAGGTCTGAACCAGGTCTGAACCAGGTCTGAACCAGGTCTGAACCAGGTCTGAACCAGGTCTGAACCAGGTCTGAACCAGGTCTGAACCAGGTCTGAACCAGGTCTGAACCAGGTCTGAACCAGGTCTGAACCAGGTGTGAACCAGGTCTGAACCAGGACTGAACCAGGTCTAAACCAGGCCTAAACCACGTCTAAACCAGGACTAAACCAGGT